GGATGGAGCCCGCGGAGCCCGCGCGGCGCGGGCAGTGAGTGGCGCGGCGGCCGGACCTCGGCGCACCAAGTGCCATGGAGGAGGAGGTGAGGGCCGGGCCGGCGTCTCGGGGCCCCTGTCGGGGTTGGGGTCCCGGGCTCGGGCCCAGTCTGCTGCCCTGCCCCTCTCCCTCGGCGTCCGACCCTCGGGCGAGCCTGGGCGGACGGGGCAGGGATGGGGTGGAGGTCGGGCCCGTCCGCCCTCCGTGCGCCTTTGCCTTTTATCACTTGTGGGGAAGTCATGGTGGTGGTTGTCCCCATTGAGGCGATGGGGAGACTGAGGCCCCGGCGCGTTCGGTGACTGCCGAAGGCGTAGCCCAGCCGGCCGGGTCGGATCCAGGGCGTGTGCGAGCGGGAGTGGCTCCGGGGACCCTAGTGCGAGGAATCTGAGGTCGTGACCCTGCCCCGGGCAGGGGGCTGAAGAGCCTGCTTTTTTCTCCGCTGTAAGCCCCTCTGCCCACCCCCTGCCCCACGTCGGAGCAGTCAGGACCCTGCCGTTCCCTCATCCCTGGAAGGGCTGGACCAGCGCCGCCCCAGCCTCCCTCGCCCCTCCGAGACCACCCTGGGCTGGGGTCCGTGCTCTGTGATCTCTACCCTTTGCACGCACACGGTGAGCACTTCCTGTCTACCTGTGGAGTGCACAGGAGGGTGACTTTGCTTCTTACCCCTTCCATGGTTCCCAGCTTCTGCTTTTCCAAGCCTCAGGGAAGGGGATGCATCTTTGCCGGGATGGGTGGAGCCCAGAGATGAAGCCTTCCCTTGTGGGGCAGCCCTGGCCCCTGGGAAGCCCTGAGTCCTGTGTCCCTGCCCCTGTCCACCTCCCTACTTCCTGGGGCCACAGCTCAGGAGAGCGAGGCTGCCTCTTCCCTCCAGGCCAGGCCTGCATTTCTGTGGGATAGTAGATAAGTCACTTCCCCTCTCAGCCCACGTTTCCTCTTCTATAGAAGAGCCCGGCCTCTCCGTCCAGCCGGCTCGATCCACTGTGGCTGTCCTCTCAGGGTAGGGGGCCACATCAGGCCTCTGTGATCTGTGCTTTGTTGTTGTTCCTTTCTTGCTGTCACAGCTGGGGCTGCCCCCGTGCCCAGGGCCCCGGCTTCCAGGGCTGGGCTCCCTGGCGAGGCCCCTCCCCTGCTCCTGGGCAGTGTTGGTCGGGATTACTCCATCTGCTGATCTGCTCCGGGCCCCCAGTTAGAGGAAGTTCTCCTGGGGCCTTCTGGGCTCAGTTGGGCTCTAAACCTTAGCCTCTCACCTCGCTGCTTCTGACCCCCAGACACCTAAAGCTCAGCGAGTGCCCTGCCCATCTGAAGTGCTCTCGCTTCTTCCTCCCAGCCCAGGCCTGGCCCACACCACCAGGGGCTCCCTGTCCTCTCCCTCCCGTTAGCATTCTCCACTTCTTCCCGCAGCCTGCCCCTCTTTCTCTAGGCCTCCTTGCTCATCTTTGTCCCTCCCTTAGACCTTCGTCCCCTGCTCTTTCCTGTGACCCCCAGCCACCCCATCACTTCCTTTCCACGTGGCTGCTTCCAGCCCTTCTGCAAGTTTAGGGCCACCCTGCACCTGGACGCCTCAGGCCCAGTGACCTCCATGCAGTGGGCTGTCACCCCTGTCAGCCCGAAGCTTGGTGAGGAAGTGCTGGGCTGGGCACCGAGCATCTGGCCACCTGTGCCCTGGTTTCCCCATCTGTAAAATGAGAAGAGCTGGGGACCCAGGAACATGGGGTGCCTGCGCAGGAGCTTTGCAAACTGCACAATCAGGGGAGGTGTGGCTGCCGCTAGAGAACAGCTGGAAACCTCAGGTCTCTACTTCCCGTGTCTCCCCTCTGTCCTCCCCCGGCGGTGCTCTGCCCTGGTTCTAAGCTGTCCACTTGCTGTCACCCAGGCTAGGCAGTGTCCTATCCCAGCACTGGTGTGGGGCCAAGCTCTTTCCCTTTCTGTACTCTAACTTAGCCAGAAGGCGGGGAAGCGATTCCCTTTCCCTTCTTGGGCTGCACTTTCCCTTTCTGTAGTGCAGGAGTTGAGAGTGGAGAGACTTTGATTCCCCGATTGTATTTCCTTCTCTGGGCCAAGTGGGTTTCCCTTCCCTTCTCAGAGCCCCACCTTGTGCCAGGGCTTCCGGGACTAACCCCAATGGAGAGCTGGTTGGGGGTCCTCTCCCAGCAGGGGACACCCTGTCCTGCTTACCTGGATGGTTTCCCAGGAGAGCAAGGTCAGAGCATCCCTGGGCTTGGGGGAAGGGCAAGTGTCATCATGAGCTGCCTGGGATGTGGGGTGAATGTGGGGGGCCAACAAGGCTGCTGCTTCTATTTTGTTGTTTCTTTCTTTGAGACAAAGTCTTGGTTTTTTGGGTTTTTTTTTTTTGGTCTTTTTGAGACAGGGTCTTGCTATCCAGTTCAGGCTGGCCTTGAGCTCATTTTATAGCCCAGGCTGGTCTCAAACTCCCAACGATCCTCCTGCCTCAGCCTCCCGAGTGCTGGGATTATAGGCATGTGCCACCATGCCCACTCTGAACAAGGCTGCTTCTGCTGGCCTCTGTCCCAACCTTGTGGCTTTCCATCTGTCCTCTTCCATGCCCAGGGTCAGAGTCACCTAGCTTTTTTCCTATGGGTGACCCACAAACTTTCCTGTGTCAGGCACAGGGGGGCCAGGCTGAGTCCTGGGGTATGAGGAACTACTTATGCTGAGCCTGGTAAGGATGGATGGGAGGTGAGGGGCACAAGAGGACCAGTGGTCAGCTGGTCAGTAAGAGGCCAGGAGGCCACAAAGCCGGGCAGAGCAGGACAAAACCTCTCCTGTGAACCCTGCCAAGGGGCGGGGCTCCGTGTTAAATCTCCCCGGGACTTAGCCAGGCCCCCTGGAGGGAGGCGGTGTGAGGGGCAGAGACCCGACTAGACAGAGGGTGGAGGTCTCCAGCCGGACCCCCTGAGGGTGGCTTTGCGGGACCAGCTGCAGCCCCTCACTTGTGCCCTCCCATCCTGGTCCCACCCGTCCTCCCAGGCCTTGGGCTGGCTTCTCTAGCCAGTTCCGTCTCCATGTTCCCCAGGTACTGCTATGCTCAGGCCAGAGGTGACAGCAGTGGAGGCCCAGGGCTCCAGCCTTGGCTCCAGACTTTCCAGCTCCGGGGAAAGTTTTCACATTTCAGTAGCTGGTGTGGTGGGCTGGCCAAGGAGCTCACAAGTGGAGTGAATTGAGAAAGGGGTCTGAGGTCTGCTGAGATGGTGGGTGGGACCCCGGAAAAGCAGGACACAAACCTGGAGCTTAGAGGTGGGAGAGGTGGCGGCAGTGCACAGCCCCACTGCCCAGAGAGGCACCAAGGGGCTCAGCAGTACCCCGATGCCGGAGCTGCGGAGAGGATGGGTGTGCCTGTGGGGAGCATGGGGGTGGGGCTTCCCACCGTGTGGAAGTTGGGTGCACGGTAGGATGAGAGACCCTCCTCTTGTTAAAGGGCTCTGGGGTCCCCTCTTCCTCTGGACAGGGCCTCTCATAACTGGCCAGCCCTTCACTTCCTCCTTCCTGTGTCTGGGAAGACTACATGGATCATCCGCTTCCCCATTTCTCTTGCCCTCCACAAGTCAGGGAGAGACCCCAAGGGGGCTCACCGCATTCCCGGAACACCTGGAAGTCTGAGGCCAGCAGCTGAGGTTCAGAAAGGCCTTGTCCGGATGGGGATCTGGGCCCAGCGAGAGGGCCCCGAGAGCCAGAGGGTAGGGCGATGACAAGAAGAATGACAGAATCGACAGCTGCTGTCTTCTAGGTTTAGATCCCAGACACTGCTTTACCTGTCTGAGCTTCATCGGCAAAAGACATTCATGGAGCACTTAGGCGCTGTCAGGGCACTGGGAGCAAAACCCAAATCTCTGCCCCCAGAGTCATTTCTCACAGCAACCACTGCTGACATCCCCTTGTGCGGACGGACTGCTGACACCTGGGTGAGGCAGTCTGTCTCCCGAGTGTGTGACCTGGGCTCCAAAGCCCAGACTCCCAGTCGCGGGAGTGTGTCACACCAGGAGGTGGCAGGGCCTCAGGGACCGCCACCTGGGGCTCCCCTGCCACGGCAGAACAGGGAGGCCAGGCTCTGCCCGGCCCCTGACGGCTCACCGCTTATCTCTGCCTGGGCTCGTCGTCCCCCTGAAGACAGCTGTGGCCGCAGGCCATCCCTGGGGAGAGGCGTGCCTCTTCTAACGGGGGCCCCTTTTTTGAGTTTTATGTAAATTATAATGTAGTCGAGATTCGTCAGTGCTGGTTCCCCTGTAGTATCCTCTGGATTCTGACGTGCTCTTGACACCCCTTCCACACTGTCCTGGGTACCGGTGAGAAGTGCAGTGGTTAGCAGATGGGGTGTGTTTTTATTTTTGTTTCACTTTATTTTCGCTTCCTCTGGTTGCTATTTCTGCAGCCCCTGTGATGTGTAAAAGAACAGGGCTGAGTGCTGGGGACTGAGTCGCACCCCACCCCATCTGGTAGGCCCTGCCCAGGCAGGGAACGCATGGGGCACAAGATGCCTGGTGCTGCCCTAAGGCTGCGGGGCAGCCACCCCAGCCAGGATGTGGCTTCAGTTGAGCACCTCCAGTGTCAGCCTGTGGTGGAGGAAGAAAAGGATTTGGAGCCCTCACCCGATGGTCGGCTGCACGAGAGTCTTGACCTCGTGCAGGGTGGGACGAGGCCACCGTGGCCTCCGCTTTGGGACAGGAAGCTGGGGCTGCAGCCTGGGTCCTAGCAGGGTGGGGTGCAGGGCCAGAGTGTCCTTCAGCCTTCCTGATCCCTCCCATCCTTCCTCTCCCTGCTGAAATGTGCTATCTCCCACAAGGCCTTTGCGGGCCACCCTGGCTGGAAGGAGGCCCCCATGTGTGTCCTCAGTGGCATCGTACCCTGGTTAATGTGTTTGTGCCCAGTGTTCGTTTATTCGGCTCCTCTTCCTCCCCGCCCCCCTGCCTGGCTCCATAAGGGCAGAGGCTGCATTAATTTGATTCTTGGGTGACGTGAACGCCCTGGGCACTTGTTGACCGGCTGAATGCACAGAGGCCCAAGGGTGGTGTAGGAGAAACAAGGGATCGGAGAGACCTGCTTTGATTTCTGGTTCTGTCCCTCCAGCCGAGTGACTGGCTGGTCGTATCTCCTCCCTGAGCGTCCTTTTGCTATGCCGTGTAGATAACAGAACTGCCACTTTGCAGGGGACTTGTCAGGGTCAAACGAGACCCTGCACATAAGATGCGATATGGGGCCTAATGGAAGTGGCTGCCGCTGGTATTACTGTCAGTCACCATTTCTCTCCTCTTCCTCCCCGGCCCCCTTTCTCTTTCTCTTTGGCAGAGTCTTGACTGTGTTGCTCAGGATGGCCTTGAACTCATGATCCTCCTGCCTCTGCCTACCCAGCAGCTGGCAGTATTACAGGCCTGGGCCACTGTGCCCGGCTCGCCGTTAACTTCTGATACGGGATTAGGACTGCGGGGACCCTCACACAGCATGGCGCTGTCAGGTCCCAGCACAGGTGCATGTCCCTGGTGCGGCCTGTGGAGCGTGTGGCCCATGGGAGTGGCCCTCACCGCGTGTCCTGGCGCTGTCTGTCTTGCAGGGCGTAAAAGAGGGTAGCGAGAAGCCTCAGGGAGCGCGAAGAGCGGACAAGTCTGGCTGGCTCAAGAAGAGCAGCGGCGGCCTCCTAGGCCACTGGAAAGATCGATACCTGCTCCTCCACCATGCACAGTTGCTGGTCTATGAGAATGAGGTGAGCATGGGCGACCCTGGGCAGGGGCTGAGCGCTTGCTGTGCTTTGCCATCTGTGCCACCCTGAGCACGTGCTCCTGGGTCTCTGCTTGTGGCATGGGAGGAATCTTGAGTTGCTGCATAGAGCTCATTGAAGCCTGTGGTCTCCTCAACTACCTGTGTGCAGAGCTTCTGCCCCAGCCCAGGGTTCTGTGTAAGTTCCAGAGAAAGCTGAAGCCTGCTGCTTTCTGCTGTGGCAGGAGAGATACACTTCATAGTTACTGGGAGCTCTTACATACCTCTCTCCCTCTCGCTCTTCTTTTCCTTTGGATTTTTTTTTTTTTCTTTTTTGAGATAGAGTCTCGCTTTGTCATTTGGTTTGGCCTTGAACTCACTGTGTAGCCCAGGCTGGCCTCGAACTCATAGCGATCCTCCTGCCTCAGCCTCCCAGGGGCTGGGGTACAGGCGTGCACCACCATGCCTGACCATAGTTTTCTTATAACGTTCACAGTGGTCCTATGAGAGTGTTCATCCTATTAAATTTTACAGAAGAGGACACTGAGGCCTAGGGTGGCAAAATCCCACTGAATTCAGCATCTCAAATGATTGGAGGACTCAGGGCTAACACCACCACTAAGCGAACTCCGAAACCTATTTTTGGTGGAGTTTCTCTGAACTACGTTAAATATTCTCCGCCTTCTTCAACAGAAGGTGCAGAGTACATTGACTTTCGCTGGTGGTCGGGAGTCTCTCGTCAGTCGTTGCGTACTGCCAGACTGTGCTTCTGGCTTGTCTTTCTCCTTCAGCGAGAAGCTGCCAGGTGCCACTTCTGCACAGACCTCGTATCTTCGCACTTCCGGACTCTGCCCTCCCGGTTTCAGCAGGAGAGCCAAGGGTGATAGAATGGAGTGCAGAGTCAGTAAGCGCTGGCTGAAGACTCTCAAGGAGGAACTTTTCCCTATAGATGCTGGGGGGGTCCTGGGCTCAAGGCAGTCAGCCCACTGCAGGATGGGGAGGCACTGTCACTGTGTCCCTCTGACTGCTGGGACGTAGAAGGGCCACAGGTGGATCCTGTCTCTTCTTATCAATCTGTTTCAGCTGCCCTGAGGCTATCCTAGAAAATGCCTCCTTGTCCCAGGCACAGACAGCCTGGGCCGCCTGGCTCTGGTGTCCACTGAGCTGATTTGAGAAGCACCTGACTGTCCCGCCTGAGTCCCCGGGCTCCAGGAGCTGTGTCCGAGAAGCAGCAGGCGGAGGGCCAGGGCAGGATGAGGGCACACAGACAGCCCCCCAGATGTTCTGTCCCGCGGTACCACACACATGCGCCACAGCTGGGAATGTGGCTGCAGGGGGATATTTTTATAAATAAAGGGGGTTGTTGCAGCTTCCTCCGGTGCCAGCTGCCACCAAAGCGGAGTGACAGGCGCTCAGCTGTCAGCCTGTCGGGCGCTGCCTGATTTGTCCTGAGCTGCTCTCCACATCTGGCCACAGCTGGGAAGCAAGAAGAACTTCATGTCTCCAACAAGAAAAATCCAAATCACACTTTATGAAAAAAATGATCACTATTAAAAAAATGTCAGCGTAGTCTCAAGAACTTAGCACTCGGGTGGGGAAGCTTGGCCCGGGAGTGGGAATTGAGAAATGCTTATTAGCTCAATTCCTCTTTCTGATGTAAGGATTCAGGCGAGTGCAGACGGCTCTTGGCTGTTTCTCGGCTGTCAAAGGCTGACGATCCAAAGATGCTGCCTCCACCCAGTGCCTGCTGCTTTATCTGCTTTTCTGAGCTGCAGGAGGGCCCGGGTGATTCAGCATTTCGGGGGAAGAGGAGACCTGGGCAGGGACTTGGGGGGCAGAGAAGGACTGACTCTTGTGTTCCCAGGCAAAGGCGGGGGAATCTGGGCCAGGGGCCACCCAGTTCGGGGAGGTCTTAGGGACGCAGGGCAGGTGAGCTGCTTTCGTAGGAACCTCCCTCCAAGGAGCAGGGAACTTCCTGGGATCTCACTGTGGTCCTTTGTGTGCGCTTCTCAAGGGCTCCCTTCTGGGGGTCCCTCCAGGGGCACAGAAAGGGGACAGACACACAGAATAGGGAGGAGAGAGCTGGCCAGGCAGGGGCTGGACTAGGCTGGTGCTTATCCACAGCTGAGTCCCGGGCCCCTAGCACCTGGTGGGTCTCTGTCCTTGGCAGGTGCTTTGTGGGTGTTTGTGCCCCAGCAGGAGGTGATGGGAGACTCAGGAGCGAGAGCACCAGGAGCAGGGATGTGGGAGTGGCGGGGCTTCCCGGAACAGGAGGCGTTTCTGGCCCTCGTGTTTTTGAGGAACCTGGGAGGGATTGGAGACTGGGGTTAGAAAGGGACAGAGGGAAGCAAAAATGGGAAATGAACCTGAGTGAACCTGCATGGGGCGATCAGGGCTGAAGAGAGAGTGGATCAGTAGTTACTGACCTTAGCTGTACAGTCATTTGCTTTCAAAAATACTGAGCTTAGGGACTGGGGATATAGCTCAGCGGCACAGTGCCTGCCTGGCAAGCACAAGGTCATGAGTTTGATTCTAGGTACCAGAAATAAACCAAAACCAAAAACCAAAATCAAAAATACTGAGTTTGGGCTCTCACAGAGAGATCCTGATATTTTTGGTCTGAGATACTGCCTGGGCATTAGGCTTTTTAAAAGTTTTAGACCACTGCTGAATGAGCTGGCGCACACCTGTAATCCTAACACCCAGGAGGCTGAGGCAGGAAGGTTGCTACAAATTCTAGGCCAACCTGGGCTGTTCAGTGAGATCCTGTCTCAAAAAAAAGCTTTATGCCTCCAAGATTAAGAACTTGGGGTATACTATCAACTTTCTCATACTGTATACCTCAGAATCACCTGGAAGTCTAGGTGAGATTCAGATTTAGCCGGACATGGTGGCACACGCCTGTAATCCTAGCAATTTGGGAGACTGAGGCAGGAAGATTGAAACTTCAAGCCTGGCCTGGACAGCATAGGGACTTATCAAGACCCTGTCTCAATTTGGGCGTGGTGGCGCACACCTGTAATCCCAGCACTCAGGAGGCTGAGGCAGGAGGACCTCTGCAAGTTAGAGGTCAGCCTGGGCTACAAAGTGAGCTCAAGGCCACCCTGAACTGCATGGCGAGACCCTGACACAAAAAGACAAAAAAAAAAAACAAACCCAAAAAACAAGACCCTGTGTCAAAATAACGAATAACAAAAGTCCTAGGGGGATTCTCCACCCCCAGAATCGCAAAAGGCTTCTGCCCCTAAGTTACCTAAGTTTCTGATTCAGTAGGGAGGGGGCTAAGGATTTTTTTCCCTAGCAAGTTCTCAGGTGGTGCTGGTACTGGCCAAGGTGCCACGCCGGGAGGACCTGGGATTGAGGAGGTGTTGCTCATCCACCAACGCTGTGACTTGGGAGGAGGGTGGTGTGCTGGGAAGACCCTGGCCCGGGTCCGGATGTGGCCTGGGGCAAATCTTCCCCTTCCAGCCTCTTGTCTGCAGCTGTCTTGTGAGGCTCCAAGAATCAGGAAGCTGCTTGACGGACGGCGGCTGAGGGAAAACCCTGGCGTCTCGGGACTGGTGTGTCTCCCCCGCCCCCCCCCCCCTCCCGTTGGCACTGAGGCTCTGAGGAGCAGCTAGGGCTCAGTGGGGTGCTTGGAAGGGGCTGTGCGCCCGCGACGCTGGCCACCCTTCACAGCCAGGGCGAGCAGGAAGATGGCAGGTGGGGGAGCACCTCAGGGTCACTGCTGCAGGCAGGATTGGGGCCCCAGCCGCGTCTTGTCCACGCTGCCCTCTGCCTGTCTGTTCCTGGGCTCCCCCTCTTGGTGCCATCACTTGTCCCTCTTCTAAGTAAACTCTCTCACAGATCCCTGCCTGGCCTCTGGGCCTGCACAACCCCAGGCACCCTTTCTACGCCTCTCTTCTGGCCGTATGCCCCTTAGACTCAGCCCTTGACCACCCCCCATTTATTTAATTTAATTAATTAATTAAATTTATTTGTCTTTTTGAGACAGGGTCTCACTGTGTAGTTCAGGCTGGTCTGGAGCTCACTTTGTAGCCCAGGCTGGCCTCAATCCTCCTGCCTCAGCCTCCCCAGTGCTGGGATCACAGGCGTGCGCCACCACATGCAGCCAACCCCCCATTTCTTATCTGGGTGTTGAACGTGCATCCCTCTAGCTGGCATGGATGGGTCCTGGCCGCCTGCCATAGCCTTGGCAATGTGGTGTCCTTTCTGAGTAGAACCAGTGCCTGAGGCGTGGCCTGTTGACCGAGGGTCCTTGGGGGTCTGGCTGTTATCACCTGGTGTCCCTTTGTCTGTCACCAGGACGAGCAGAAGTGCGTGGAGACGGTGGAACTGGGCAGCTATGAGAAGTGCCAGGACCTCCGCGCCCTCCTCAAGCGGAAGCACCGCTTCATCCTGCTGCGCTCCCCAGGGAACAAGGTAGGGAGCTGCCTGCTTCCCCACTCCCTGCATCCAGGGCCTGCTGGGGAAGAGCAAGCCTGGGGGCGGAGCCAGCTTGGACCCCTCCAGGAAGCCAGCAGCTTCCCTGTTGAGTGGGCCGAGGCTCAAACCCAGCAGCTGCCAGAAGTTGGACCTTCTGCCTCTTTTGTCTGGGAGGCTCCCAGCCCCTGCTTGATGGGCCATGTGCCTAATGCTGGGCTGAGCGCCTCCTCCGCTCTCCCCTTCCGGGCCATGGCCTCTCCCAGGCTGTGCTCAGCAGTACTGCCCTGCCGGGAGGTGGCCTGGCCTTTGCCTGAGCTCTGCACGTAGGAAGTCCAGGCCGAGGCCCTGAGCTGTGGATGCGTGGACCCCTCCTGCGCCCTCCTGAGTGGGCAGCTGGGAGCCCCAGCCCCACTGTGCTCTCCTGGCTGTAGCCGAGGTAGAGCCCTCGCCTAGGAGACGCGCGCCGGGGACCTGCTCTGGTGCTGATGGTGCTTGCTGCTCACCCCGCTCTTTCCCGGGCAGATGCGGGTGTACCACACTTCCCGCCAGCTCCTGCCACACCCCGCTCCAACCCCTGCCTGTCACATGAGCCTCAGTGTGGCTGAGTCACAGAGGCTCGGGCTCCAGGAGCAGGTCTGGTCTGGCCCGCTGGGGCCACTCTTCCTCTCCTAGATAGAGGCCCGGGGGCCCAGGACGCGGTCCCTGCGCTTCTGGAGGAGACCGTGACGCTCTCTTTACTCATCAGCCCCTTGCCCTGCTCTGCAGGGAGCAAGGGGGACAAAGAAGCCAGAGCTGTGGCGCTGAGGAGCTGGAGGACGCGCCCCAGGGCAGCGCGGGCATGAGGGTGTCCATGGGTTCACGGGCCGGGGCTTGGGGACCCGCTGGCTGTGGGTGCCGTCCCGTTGTCTTCAAGAGGAGCAGAGGCCATGCGCCTTCGCCATGTGTCTGGCCGCGTGTGCATGTCCCGTCACAACGGGCGTCTGCCCTGGTGTGCGCGCACCCTTTACGTGCAGGTTGTCTGCCCCACCGTGGGCGCACCCCCCACGCGCAGGGCATGTCCCCGCGGCCCTGGTTCTCAGCATCTTCGTGCATGTGCATGTGGGGCCCGTGCCTCGCCCAGCTCTGAACACGCCGGTGGTGGCCGTGGTGGGCCGGCCCGCTTCGGGCGGCACATCACCTTCAGAGCGGCTGTTTGTGCAGCTGCGTTCTCCCTGTCTTCAGCCAGCGCCCCCTCCCACCCCCGGCCTGCCCGGAGTTCAGATCCGCTCCAGGTGGCTCTCGGCACAGGAGGTGGAGCAAGTGCTGGTGGCCACAGGGGAAGGGAAGGCTCACACCGCTCCAGCTCGAGGGGCTCCTGACCCTCACCCCCCACAGAGTGGGGCCCCGAGGCCCGGTGCGGACCTCGCCCAGTGCACCTCGTGGCTGGGACCCTCTCGCCCCCTTTTCCCAGCGCCCTGGGTGTTCCCAGTCCTCAGTGCGGCCTCCAGCCGGCCTGGAGGCCATGTGACCCTGGCTGTCTGGTCCCGAGGCCGCCTTTCTTCCCTTCTAATCAAATAAACAAAGACTCCAGTGTCTTCCAGCCTTGCTCCCCCGCCTCCCCATCCCCACGCCCCTGCCCGTGAGGTCACAGGCAGCCGCTGCCAGGAAGCCGGGTGGCCGCGGCTGGGCCCTGCTGCCCCACTGGTCCAGGCCAGCTTGGCCCTTTCCTCTGCCCTGCTGCCTCTCCCCTCCCGCCTTTTCCTCCCGGCCCTCCGGCCCTTCCCCCTTTCCCAGGCTGGAGGGCGCACTCTGCCCCAGCTCATCAGCATCCCAGCGCCTAGCTGGCCCGGTCCCTGGGCCTCTTAGGCGGGCTTGTGGCTGGACCTGTGCAGCCAGTGGTAGCCGATCAAGCCACGGCTTCTTGGGATTTATCCTAACTGCCCCTCTTGAGCCGAGATTACAAGGCGCCTGGAGGCTGGGGCGAAGTTGGGCTGTGACTTACGGTCCCCCTCCAGGAGCCCTGGTCTAGGGCACAGTGGGGTTTTCCAGCCCATTTTCCTCTCCGGGAGCTGACACCGCATGACTGCCCAGCCTGGGGGAGCAGGCCTGGTGTGAGCCGCTGCAGCGGTTCCGTTCTCATCTTTTGAGCCCAGAAGACGGGAGAGCATAAAACTTGGCCCCTGGCTCTCTGGCGCCACTCTGGTGCCCACAGCCGCTGGCTTCCGATGCGTGTCTCCCTGCTCGTGGATGCCGCCGCCTGTACTATCATGGGCCTGCTGTCCCAGAGCCGCTGCACAGGGGCAGTGCTGGGGTCCGCGGGGCGGCCCCAGACCGCGTCTGCACCATGGGTCCCGGTGGCCTTTGCAGCCCTGGATGCACGGCCGTTCCTGCCTGAGCCATAGCAGCCCCGATGGCTAGGCCGAGAGGCAGTTGCCAAGGTGTCCTGGAGTTTCTGACTTAACTGCAGATCTGCTGCCAGGATCGAATTTACCCTGGTCATGCAAATAAGCATTTGGCAGTCTGGCATGGGGGGTGGGCAGGGCCCCGCGGGAGGAGGAGGCCGTGCGGCCAGGAGGAAGTTATATAATGAGGATGCTGCGGGCCTGGCCAAGTGCACCCTGGCGTTGCGTAACTGGAGAGCAGAGGGAGGGGAGGGGAGGGGAGGGCCGGCAAGCTGCAATCTCGAGGTCAGGAGTGGGCTTCGGCCTCACCCGGGCGAGGGAAGGCGCCTTGAGCTGTTCATTCATTTATGGCCATTTGGCAACCATTACCAAGTACCTACTGTGTGCTCAGCCCTGGCTTTCCTCATGTTTAATTCCCTCAGCGTCACTTTGTAACAGGCGGTGTTATCCCATTTCACAGATGAGGCAGCTGGGACTGTTTGTCCAGAAGGGAGGGAACCATGGTAGCGGCTATCACTAAGCATTCCCTTGGATCCAGAGTCAGCGCTGCATTTGCTCATTCACTTTGCAGTACTGGGGATTGAGCCCAGGGCCCTCTCACTGAGCTGCATCCCCAGTGCTTTTTTATTTTTTATTTTATTTATTTATTTATTTTTGTCTTTTTGAGACAGGGTCTCCCTATGCATTTCAGGCTGGCCTTGAGCTCACTTTTTAGCCCAGGCTGGTCTCAAACTCACAACGATCCTCCTGTCTCAGCCTCCTGAGTGCTGGGATTATAGGCATGCACCACCACCCCTGGCTTGAGATAGTGTCTTGCAGGGGGTAGGGATTTAGCTCAGTGGCACAGCGCCTGCCTGGCAAGCGCAACGTCATGAGTTTGATCCCTGGTACCAGAAAAAAACAAAAACAAAAACAAAAAAAAGAGATAGTGTCTTGCAAAGTCATTAAGTTGACGCGGTTAAACTCAAACTTGGGGTCCTCCTGCCTCAGCCTCTCAGAGCACTGGGATGATAGGCATCCTAGCTCCTAGATTCAACACTTTATTTGTTTGTTTGTTTGTTTATTTATTTGTCTTTTTGAGACAGGGCTATGCAGTTCAGGCTGGCCTTGACCTCACTTTGTAGCCCAGGCTGGTCTCGAATTTGCAACGCTCCTCCTGCCTCAGCCTCCCGGGTGCTGGGATTATAGGCATGCACCACCACGCCTGGCTAGATTCAACACTTTAGAAACCTCTTTCTAAAACATTTAAAAATTGTGGTTGGACACATGTAACGTAAAATTTACCATCTTGCTATGCATGGTGGTGCCCTTATGAGGCTGAGGTAGGAGGATCATGAGATTAAACCTAGCCCAGGGTACATAGTAAGACCTGTGTCAAAATTTTGGAAATTGTACCATCTTAACCATTGTTCCGTGGCATTAAATACATTCATAACGTGGTGCAGCCACCACCACATACATCTGCAGAACTCTTCCATCCTGTAGCGCAGAAACTGTACCACTACATGCTAACTCCCCACTTCCTCTCCTCCAGCTCTGGGCTCTGGGCAGTCACTGCTCTACTTTGCGCCTCTGTGATCTTGGCTGCGCTAGGTGCCGCATGAGTGGAATCACAGTCTTTGTCTCCTTTTTTTTTTTTGAGACAGGGTTTTGCTGTGTAGCCCAGGCTGGCCTCAAACTTGCAGCGATTCTCTTGCCTCAGCCTCCCGAGTGCAGGGATTATAGGCGTGCACTACCACGCCCAGCAGTGTCTTTTTTGCCTGCTTACTCCACTTAGTATGATGTTTCCAAACTTCGTCCCATCCAAGTGGTAGCAGGCATCCAAATTTCCTTCCTGTTTTCTTTTGTTTTCCTTCCTGTTTGAGGCTGCATAATATTCCAATGTAAGTCTGTTCTACAATTTGCTTATCCATTCATTCATGGATGGACACATAGATGGCTTCCCCTTTTTAGCTATTGTGACTAATGCCACTGTGAACATGGCTGTATAAATTAGATATATCTTCTGTGTTATTGTTTCACAATGCCAGAGATCCAAGGCAGAACCTGTGCATGCTCAATGTGCCCTGTCCCAGAGCCACACCCTCTGCCCCGGCTACATCATTTTTTATTAATGATCTCCATGTGCCCCGAGGCAGATTGCAGTGGTATTTGCCCTTACAAATGAGGAATCCGAGGCACAAGCTCAGATGGTGTTATGGTCAATGTATTGTGTTAACTTGGGGAGTCTAGAGGTTTGGCTAAGTGACTCAGCAGGGAGCTAGGGTGCTTATGTTGTGTACATCCTGAGCCTGTACAAGAGGAGCACATGGAGATTATGTGAGAGCTACACACCCCTGGGTGGGGGTAGCTTGTTTACAATGTAAGGGAGGGAAAGAGGCTGCTTGTTGCCATTTCTCCCTTTTGCTCTTCTTGTTTTTGCTGTGTTCTGCCGCCATAAGTGTTTGCTCTCTGCCATGTGCCACTGTGCCTTGGAGCCAGCCAAGTGTAGACTCAAACCTCCACAAACTGTAAACTAAATAAACCTTTCCTTCCTTAATTTTGGGCATCATATATTTTGTCCCAGCAATGAGAGAAAAGTAAGATGGCTGTGAGTGGCCCGACTGCTCTGTCTTGGTACGGGGGCCCTCGGTGGCAGGGCCAAGGCTCTGGCAGCCGAGTGATTCTGACACAGGCACCCGGAGTTCCGGTCTGAGGTGGGAAGGGACCCACGCTTGGTGGCCGAGGAGTCAGGAGAGATTGCTTGAGCCCACCTTGGGCAGGCGTCCTCTTGCCTGCTGAGCGGGTTTCTTCATCTTTGTGATGAGGGTGGAACTGTTCTTTAGAGATTCAAGGCCAGAAGCGAGACCGTGGTCTTCAGGAGTCTGACATGTTTTTCAGCCGAGGCCAGGGCTGGGTATGGGGCCCGCCTGTCCTGGATGTGGACTGAGACCATTCCTCTGTTACAGGGCAAATGGTAGTTAGCCCAGAGTCCCTTCTTTCTAGGTATTTCCCCTCCTCTGTACCCGGGCCCTGGTGTCAGAACTGGTGTAGGGTTATTTTGGTTTGACTTTGAGATCAGGGATGGGAAGTTTCCTGAAGGCCCCTAAGGTGCCAGGCATAGTAGCTCATGCCTGTGATCCCAGCACTCGGGAGGCTGAGGCAAGAGGATTGCCATGAGTCCAGGCCAGCCTGGGCTACATAGTGAGACCCTGTTTCAAAAAACAAGAACAAACAAAAACAAAAAACCATGAAATGAAACAAAGCCAGCACAAAGGCGAGCCCTGTGAAATATCTGTGACACACCCTACCCATCTCACTGCAGGTCAATGACATCAAATTCCAGGCACCCAGCGGGGAGGAGAAGGAGTCCTGGATCAAAGCCCTCAATGAAGGGATCAACCGAGGCAAGAACAAGGCCTTTGATGAGGTGTGTCACAGCCCTGTGGATGGCGGTGGTCCTTGGGTCCATCCATGTGTCAGGAGGGGACCCTGCCATAGGCTTCCCCTTGATTTCGTCACCCCTAGAAATGCTGGGGCATCCGGGGATATTTCCGTCAGTCCTCGTAACAGTCTCTCAGAGTGGGTGGTGATGCCCCCATGTTAGAGATAGAACTGAAGCATGAAGGAAGTAAAAAGCTTACTTTGACTTTAAAAGCATGCCAAGCTCCATGAGGTGGTGCACCCTACAAATCCCAGCACTCTGGGAGGCTGAGGCAGGAGATTCGAAGGCTGATGTCCAGCTTTAACAACTCAGCAAGGTGCTGTCTTAAAGTAAAAAATAAAAAAGGTCTGGGGATGTAGTTCAGTGTAAAGGCCCTTGCTTCCACCCCCAGTATCACAAAAACCACAGACACCACAAGCTTGTCAGTGGTGGCGTGGAACTGAACTGGTTATGGCCTCAGGAGCCAACAGCAGGTGGCCCAGGCCCGGGAGCACGAGCTGAGCCGAGAGCCGGGAGCTCCCTTCCCAGTTTGCCCGTGAAGTGACCAGCCCTGCAGACATCAGCCCCACACCTGGCGGCGGGGTGGGGTGGGGTGGGGTGGGGGGACAAGTGTCCCCTGTGGCCAGGATCTCTTGGGAAGATGAAGTTTTTTTCCTTGTGGTGCCGGGGATCAAACCCAGGGCCTCACGTGTGCCTTCCCCGTTTGCGGCCTACACGCTTCCTGGCTTTAGCCCAATGCAGGTGCCCCACCTCTGAGCTACATCCCCAGCGCATTTGTCTTCGGCATCACAGATCCTTTGCCGTTTGAGTTCAAACTGGCACGCGCCGCCTTCGGCGATGCTTTGATTTGCAAAAGACAAGATCTGAGGGCGAGAACCTTCGTGAGAGGGCCTGTGCCTCCTGTGTCCTCTCGTGTCCCCGCGTCTTCCTCCTGCACTGCCAGGGCAGGGCTCCTGTTTTGGCAGAGAGGATGATGGGTGGCCACATTGTGGGAACCAGGGCGGCCACAGAAGGCAGGCCTTGGGCCTCAGCCCAGCCTCGGCAGAGCAGAGGAGCAGAGACAGCTGGAGCCCCTGGCAGGCCTGAGCACCCCCGGCTTCCTGGAGGGATGTGCCGCAGGGGGCTCCCACCTGCTCCTCATCCCTTTCCCCGCCCTCAGCGAGGAGCTGCTGTTCTCCAGATTCCCGGGCTGAGGGCAGAGGTTCGGCTCTTTCTTGCCTGCCCCGGGGCCTAGGAGAATGGGAGGCCAGGGCAGGCAGTACGGTGTGAGGCCCGGCACCCGGGGATGGGGGACTGGCTCCTCCCTTTCCCCAGCTGAGCCCCAAGGTGACCTCGAGGCTGCTTAGATACCTGCAGTCGAGCAAGGAGTCAGGGCTGAGGGCCCACATTTGGGCAGAGAGGCAAGAGGGCAGCTGCTGGGAGGATTCAGGGTCCTTCGGTACCTCCCACTCCACCCAAGGCCCGGCAGGTGGGCTGACCGGCTCCCTGTCGTCCTCAGGTGAAGGTGGACAAGACCTGCGCCCTGGAGCACATAACTCGGGACCGGGTGCGCGGGGGCCAGCGGCGGCGCCCACCTACCAGGATCCACCTGAAGGAGGTAAGGCCTTGCCCTCCCCAGACGAGGGAGAGCAGTGAGCCAGGGCCTCAGCTCCTCGGTGGCAGCCAGGCTCGGGCCCCCACTTTCCTGAGGACGCCTGGACGAGGGCCCCCCTGCGTGGTACACAGGAAGGAAGAGCGGGGACAGCACCTGCGGCGTGTGTGCTCAGGGTGTCGATGCCCCCAAGCTCACGGCCTTGTTCATTTGGGGTCCGCACACTGGGCAGAGTTGGCCACAGGGACACTGAGGTCCATGGGGCGAGTCCGGCCCTCAGAGACCGGCTTCCAGCCGGAACAGACCTGTCCATGGGCAGGACACAGTGCGCAGAGGTCCAGGATGGACAGCTCACGGTGGACAAGTGGCTCCGTTTGTGTGGGAGGTTGGCTAGGAAGGTGGGGCTGGGGACGGGATGGGACGGCTCCTTCCAGGGGTCCTTCTGGGGCCTGGGCAGGGTGGGTTGAGGGGTGGGGAGGGCAAGGCAGGCGGCCAGGAAGAGGGCGAGGCCGGCCCTGCAGGCCAGGCAGATGGGAAGGGAGGGCCTGACGGGAGGGAGGAGCCAGAGCCACCCAGCTCGTGCCTTGTGCCTGGGTGTGGGACTGGAGCCTGGGCAGGGGGCGACAGCGCGGCAGAGGAGGAGCTGACAGGCAGGAGGGGGCGGAGCCTGGAGGCCGAGCAAGAGCTCAGCCAATGCAACATTTGGGCTGCAGAGGGGAGCAGCCGGCCGCAGCCAGGGAAGAGAGCGCCAGGGAGGCAAGGGCCTCCCGGGGGATGGGCACAGGGCTTGGGGCCCTCGGCCAAGGGACGAGGGCGGGCCTGAAGCAGAGACAGCGCGTTTTCTGAGAGGAGCCAGCGTAGGGCCCTTAGGTGCAGGGCTGAGGGTGCCCTGGAGGGAAGGGGCCTTGTGGGGAGGCACCCCAGGTTGTTGTGAGACTCACTGGCCTGTCCTTGTCCGTCACTGGGGGAGAGGAGCGGGGGGGGGGGTAGGGTCGGGGGCTCGCGGTGGTCAGGGCGGTGCTGGCAGATCTCCTGGTGTGTGTGGGAGCAACGAGGACCCCAGCCGAAGGTCCCGTCTGAGGGACCTCGGAAGAGGCCTCCTTCCTGCCCGGCCCTGCTGCACAGCCTCCCGGGCTCCCTGGAAAGGTTCCCGAGACGGGGCTGCTCGGTGTCCCTGTGGGCCCCCGGGGCTGCGGGGCAGCTGTCCCTGGGCCACACTGAGGACACGAGGGGCGGGAATGCGCTGTTGAAGGGCAGGCAGGGGCGGGCGGGCCTGGAGAACTCGGCGTACCTACGTCAGACGCAGTGGCAGTCAGCCAGGGTGACACCTGGATCCTGTCCCTCCACAGGTCGCCAGCGCAGCTTCCGACGGGCTTTTACGCCTGGACCTCGATGTGCCGGACAGTGGCCCACCGGTGTTCGCACCCAGCAACGCCGACAGCGTGGCCCAGCCCCAGCCCCAGCCCCGGGAGGCACTCTTGCCGCCTACCAAGCCTTCCCCGGCGCCTGAGACCACCGGCCTTAGTGACAGCGTGGCACCCCCTGCAGGGGAGAGGGCCCCAACTCCCATCTCAGCAAGCGCCGAGGCCCAGCCCGAGAGCCCCTCAGACTCTGAGAAGCCAACGGAGGACAGTGCATCCACGGAGCCCCCCAACAGAACCTTGCTTGACAAAATGGTGAGCTGGGAGAGCCCCAGCCCTGAAGATCCCGCTGTTCCTGAGGAGCCCCCTGCTCCTGAGAAGCCCCCCACTCCCGAGAAGCCCCCCACTGCCGAGAAGCCCCCTACTGCCGAGAAGCCCCCCACTGCTGAGAAGCCCCCTACTGCTGAGAAGCCCCCCACTCCCGAGAAGCCCCCCACTCCGGAGAAAGCTCCTGCTCCTGAGGAGCCCTCTGCTCCCCAGAGCGTGGAACTGAGCCCTGGGCCTTGCTTGACAAAATGGTGAGCTGGGAGAGCCCCAGCCCTGAAGATCCCGCTGTTCGAGAAGCCCCCCACTGCCGAGAAGCCCCCCACTCCCGAGAAGCCCCCCGCTCCGGAGAAAGCTCCTGCTCCTGAGGAGCCCTCTGCTCCCCAGAGCGTGGAACTGAGCCCTGGGCCCTGTTTGAAGACTTCAGAGGCCCCCCGCCGGGAGGGTCGGAGGCCCCCCACGCCCCCACCCAAGATCTTATCAGAGAAAATGAAGGCCTGCTTGAGCAGGGCGGAGGCTTCTGGGCCGGCCCACAGTCTGGGGACCCCTGAGCCCTCAGCCCCCAGCCCTACGCAGGTCTCGGTGAATGGTGTGGATGATAGGCCTGAGCCTGCCAAGCGCTGCCCGGATGCGGGCACCGCAGGAACCGCCCCAGAGGAGGCGGCAGTGTCCCCCGCTCAGCCCCCCCAGGACCTGTCCCCTCAGCTCCACTCCCGCTGCTCCTCCCTGGGGGACCTGCTCAGAGATGGCCCACAGCGTCCTCAGCTGCCCGGGGATCGGCTGTACCGAGCCCAGCTGGAGGTGCAGGTGGCCTCCGAGCAGACAGAGAGGCTGCTGGGCGAGGTGCTGGGCAACCAGCCGCCCCCTGCGAACACCGAGACCTTGCTGAGCCAGGCTGTGGAACAGCTGAGGCAGGCCACGCAGGTTCTGCAGGAAATGAGGGATTCGGACTCCAGAGAGCCTGGCCAGGAGGCCCCCGGCCTCAGGAAGAAGCAGAAGGAGCTGGTGACGCTGTACCGGAGAAGCATGCCCTAGGCGGCGAGGCCCGGCGCTGCCGAGCAGCGAGCAGCGCACTCCACAGCCGCGGCTCTAGCAGGGTGTTGTGTGTGTCAGGGTTTGGCCAGGACCAGAACAGACCCGCGGTGTCCCTGCCAGCCTGCCCTGCTCCGTGCCAGGTACACCCAGGGTCACTGTGTGGCGCTCTGCTCTGGCCTCACCTGGGGCTCTGGGCCGCTCAGAGCACACGCTCAGCCCGTGTGCGTCCTCGGAGTTGATCCGCACCACCCCAGGGCTCTGGCACCGTTTGGGGGCGCCCTGCGTACGGCACTGTCTCTGCTCCCCGCTCCAAGTAGTTTACGTTCCTGGCTTCGGACGAGAGCACAGCTGAGCCCGTGCACCCCGGCTGACCCCTCCCACCTCCTCCTGCAGCTGCGGCCCGCTGCGCCTCTCGAGCAGGTGGGAAGCCTCTGGGTGAGGAAGCCGCCGGCTGCTGCGCGCCCCTGCTGCAGCCTGCTTCCTTTCCTGAGGTCCCACCATCTTGGGGCTGTGATTGCAGGCCTGGGTCTGGGGGATCTGGGGAGAAGAGGAACCCAGGGGTCTCCTGGACCAGGCTGTGTCCAGCCTTGCAAACTCCCGAGGAAGTCACACCGAGTGGCCCAGTGTTACCACGCGCACAGCTGTGTGTGAGAATCCCCAGTTCAGGCTTCAGGACGCCCTGCCCCGTGCTTGCCTGGTGAGATCCAGCTGGATGGATCTCTTGGTTCCTCCTTGGCCCGGACAGCTCTAGTGTCCCTGTCATTTCCTCACCGCTGCCCCGAGGCCACCCCAGGCCCAGGCCCCTGGTGGGCTGCCTGTCCTTACTTCCCGTGAAGAGGAGCCTCCCTGTTCCTGCTTCCTTCTCAGCACCCGCTGCCCCGTCCAGGGCCCTGGGAGCACGCGGGGCCGGGTAGAGCCTGCCGGGGGACGGGTGTGGGGTGTGTGTCGGGAGGACCGAGGTCTGTGCCCGTGCACTTTTGTTTACCAGAGGAGGGGTCACCGCAGCGTGGCCTGGCCTTTCTGCCACCAGTGGTGCCCACAGCCCTGCCAGCGCAGGCCACCCTTACTGCACTGTCACCTTGTCCGGGGTCCTGGGTGGGGCAGAGGGGAGCCACACTGCCATGGCTCGCCAGCCCCGGTGCCCCCCGCTGCTCTGGCTGCAGTCTCCCGCCCCGTCTGTCCTCTATGAGAGCAGGGGTGTTGTTAGGTGCCAACGGTCGCGCACCCATACCGTCTTCTTTTAGGGAGAATCTCCCTCCACCAGCAGCCGAGTCACCTGCACCCGGCAGTTGCAGGCTCGGTGTCCCCTGTCCGGTGGTGGCTGGTGGGGATGGGAGGGGTGTGTGGGGCTCCTATGCCTCCTTGGGGAGGAGGCGTTCAGTGTCTTTTGCTTATGAAAAGCCTTTCTTGAAGTTTGGCAATAAACTCCTTTTTAAAGAACTCTCCTGCCTCAAGCCTGTTTCTGATGTGGGAGTAGCATGTAGGTGACAGTCGGTCAGCGGTGTCACTTGTCCCCGTAAGATGGGCCGGGAGCCCGTAGAAGGGCTGCGCAGCACCTTCCAGCCTCAGCCAGGCCCAGGTGAATTCACTCCCCGCCTGCTTCCGGGAGCTGGTTCTGAGTGTCAGAAGGAACAGCGGTTTCCCTTCTAAGCCCAGGCTGGCGTCGAACTTACTATGGAACCCAGGCTGGCCTCGAACTCATGACGATTCTCCTGCCTCAGCCTCCCGAGTGCTGGGATTACAGGTGTGCACCACCCAGCTTAAAATTTTATTGGAAATAATCTAAACAGAGAAAAGTTGCAAGAATAAGATTAGTACAAAGGACACCGACATACTCTGCCCACGTTGACTTGTTTTATCTCCTAATGCTTGCTTTCATGGGAACATACTGTTTTGTTTTTTGTTTGCTCTGAATCATTGGAAGGTTGGTTATCATGGTCCCTTACTCTTAAATACTTCCATATGTGTTCCCTAAAAGTATCTTTTCTCATGTAACCACAGTACATTTATCAGTGCTGGTAAATATAGCATTAGTTAATAGTGTATGTTCCAATTTTATCATTTGACCTAATAATATCCTTTATTGTAGTTTTTCTCCAGCTATCACCAAATATTACTTACAGCTGTTTTCTCTCCGCCTTTTATTTTTTATCCCGACCCTCTAGGGCTTTTATACTGAGCCGCACCCTACCTCTTTCTTATTTTTTATTTTGAGACAGTTTCACTAAATTATCCCCTGTGATCCTCCTGCCTCAGCCTTACACAGTATTGGGAATGAAGATGTGCACAAACACAGTTGTCATTGCTCTTTAGTATCCTGTAACCTGGACGTTTCCACAGCCCGCCTTTGTCCTGCACAACATTAACATCTTGAAGAATCCAGGCCTTCCTTGGCCCCACCCCTCTTTTTTGCTGTTTTTTTGTGTTTTTTTTCTGGTATCTGGAATCGAACTCACGATCTTGCTCTTACCAGGCAGGCGCTGTGCCGCTGAGCTAAATCCCCAGCCCCAGCCCCACCCCTCTAATAGACTGGTCCCCTGGGGCTTTGTCTGAGGCTCCCCATGATTAGATTGGGGTTTAGACGTCAGGGATACTGCTTGGTGGCATTAGGCCCTTTCAGAGCATCATGATTGGAATCACACAGCCATCTTTCCCCTCACATACCTGATTTTTTTTTTTTACTGTACATTTATTTATTTGTAATAAAAGGCATCTGAAGACCAGGTGCAAATCTTTATCCCCTTGCCACGCTTTCCCCTGATTAGCATCCATCGAGGTGCTTTGCTCGACAGGTGTTTCCTGTAACAACTAAAATCAAAATGGAGATTCCAGGGGCATGTCACCCCGGGCCTGCTCCTGGTTGTGGGGGGCTGGGGGGAGTCTGGGCCCTGTTTCTTGCCTGGGGTCCCCTGACACATCCCAGCACCCCACGAGAGCTCTGGGAAGCCCCAGGCTGAGGACAGAGCTCCAAGCCAGACTGCCAAATCTGAAGCCCCACCCAGGGACTTCCCGTGAGCCTCAGACGGGGGCCTCAATTTCCTCACCTGCAAGAGGGGATGACGATGCCCGCACTCCTCCACGTGGGAAAGCACTGCCGTGCGTGCTGAAGGCTGGCTCTTCCTCCTCCTCTGAGGGCCACTGGACAGAGCCGCTGGCCAGCATAACAGGAAGCGCCTGACCTGGGACCTATCAATTGTGCTTCTGACCTTGCGACCCGCGTGAATTCTCCTGCACAGGCCTGGTGTGTGACAGCGATACCGAAGGAGCGTCCCGCAGCGCCTGGGGGACCTCGCATGAATCACTTCCCCTTGCCGGGCTCCTTTAGGATGGGAGTGTCACCCCCGACGAGGCACTGGGTCCCCTCGTGAGGGCCACCTTGCAGACAGCAGCGGCTGGGACGGTGTGGGTGACCTGCCCCGGGCTGCGGAAGGATGTGGTGAGGACGCTTTGCCTCTGCTCTCGAGGCTGGAGGCCGGGGCAGAGCAGCGGAGCCTTCGCTTTGAACGCAGGCCGTGACATCCAGGGGCCTCACGTCCCGTGGGCAGTTTCACGGCTGGGTTTTGACCACCACAAGCGGCCACCCTGACAGGACCCAGGACGAGGACAGGGCGGCCCTGGTGGGAACTGGCTTGCTCTCTGCCCCTGCACAAGCCGGGCCCTGCAGTCGTCCTGTGTCAGGAGCCACTGAGTTTTGGGTTTGGTGTCTCCCCCAGGTCCCCTCTGCCAGCCTCCCCTCCTGGGCCAGACGCACAGGGCTGTTGGGAAAAACCACATGAAGTCGCCCTTGTGGAGGTTCCCGTGACAGGAGGCTCTGTGAGGGGACACGGGATGATGTGATGGCAGAAATTCCTCTCTGTTGTCATAATCTTATTTAAAAGCAAAATTCCCCATAGGAAACAACAGGGTGTAAGCAGGAAACCCATGACTTTAGATTTGGAGGCAGATACACCTCGGTTCAAAATGGGGCTCTGGTTCCGCCCCAGCCCCGCAAATGGCCCCGGGGTGACTTCCAGCCAAGCGTGCCTCTGTTTCAACATCTGTACAGTGGGCAGATCTTCCCTTGTGCACCAGGTTGCCTGGAGTCGCCTGGTAGAAAATGCTGAGTGGAGCCCAGCAGCCATGCTCACAGAGCACCTACTCGCCGGCCTACTGCACCTCATCTCAGAGGACTCCGGAGGGCAGTGGAGGAAATTGAGGCTTGAGGAACTTTTCTAGGAGACCAAAGAGACCACATCTGAGTGCCTTCCTTGGCCTGTGACTTCAGGGGCTGGGCCTGGGGCTCCCTTGTTCCTGAAGCTGGAGGATGCCCTGGGGCGGTGCCTGGCTCCCCAGCCAGCTGTGGCCTTGCCTTATAAGGACAAGGACCTAGCGGTGATGAAACCACAGCCTCCAGCGGGGTAGGGGGGAGGGAAGTGACTGGGGCTCCAGGGCTGCAGCCCAGAGCCTGGCTTCGCAGGAACTCGCCCCCGGCTCCCTCTCCGGTCCTGTGTCAGCAGCTGACTGGGGCTTTCCAGAAGGCTGGTGGCAGCAGTGCGGCCGGCCGAGGGTCCGGGCAGGGCCTGAGAGGCTGCAGCCGCGAGGTGGCCCACCCCAGGCAGACAGAGGCAACAGGAACCTTCTTTTCTTTTTTCTTTTCTTTTCTTTTCTTTTCTTTTCTTTTCTTTTCTTTTCTTTTCTTTTTCTTTTTTTTCCCCCTCCATTCTCTTTTCTCTTTTCATTTCTTTTCCCTTTCTTTCCTCTCCTTTCCTCTTCTTTTCTTCTCTTCTTTTATTTTCCTTTCTTCTTTTTTTGGACCAGGCATTGAAGCCAGGTTCTTGGCTCTGAGCTACATCTCCAGCCCCCTTTTCCTCTCTTCTGTTCTGAGACAGCGTCTCACTATGGTGCTAAATCGCCCAGGCCAGGCTCAAACAGGATTCTTCTGACTCAGCCTCCCTGAGTGCTGGCATTACAGGAAGGCACCCCCATACCTGCCTGGCTCAGAACCCTTACTGATGCAGGGAGCACACAGGTCTGGACTTCGAGTTCTAGGCCTGTCCGGCTCCAGCCTGGTCAGGGCCATCAAAGGCCCTGGAGAGGAGGCGCTAGGAGGCCATAGATGAGTCTCTTCTTTGTCGCTTTGGGCCTCCAAGGTCAAATCATAAAGGTGACAAGGGAGGGTGCTGGTCAGATTCCAGACCCACCCTACCCCCTCTCTTCCTCCCTAGCTTATGTCCCTAGGGTCCTGTGTCCCCTAAGAATTCATCAGCCCACTGGTGTGTCCTTGGAAAACTCATTCATCATGGTTCCAGGGTGTGGCGGGGTGGAGGCTGATGTGGATTTTTGAGACCATGTAGCTCACTGCTGTTTGCTTTTCCTTGTTTTGGTTTTTTGAGACAGGGTCTCACTATGTAGCTCAGGCTGGCCTCAAACTCACTAGGATCCTCCTGTCTCAGCCTCCTGGGTACTGGGATTACCCACTACCCTGGGCTGACCTGCTGGTTTCAGAGGAGAAGAGAGGAAGTAAGAGCTCAGTGGGAGGGGTTTTGTTAAAAGTGTGTGTGTGTGTGTGTGTGTATGCGCCCGCGAGCTTGCTAGTGCCCCTTGGTTTTGGATTAAAAGTTTTTCTTGCTGGGCGTGGTGGTGTACACCTGTAATCCCAGCACTTGGGAGGCTGAGCCAGGAGGATTGCTGTGAGTCCCAAACCAGCCTGGGCTACAAAGTGAGCTCAGGGCCAGCCTGAACTGCATAGCGAGACCCTGTCTCAAAAAGACAAAAAATAAAAGTTTTTCTTTAAGCAGCGCCAGCTGGGCTAGGGATTTGGCTCAATGGTAGAGCACTTGCCTGGCATGCGGAAGTCCCTGGGCTTGACCCCTGGCATCACAAAAACAAACAAAACAAAATAAAACCCACAACAGCAATATTCCCCAACTCCTTAGCTGAATGTGTGATTAGTTCTTTTTTGTTGTTGTTTTTTGGTCTCTTTAAGACAAGGTCTCGCTGTGTAGTTCAGGCTGGACCTGAGTTCACTTTGTAGCCCAGGGTGGCCTCGAACTAGCAGTGATCCTCCTGCCTCAGCCTCCCGAGTGCTGGGATCACAGACACGCACCACCACGCCCGGCCTGGGTGTGGTTGGTTCTGTACCTGAGCTAGCCCCAGAGACCTGGGTGGCCAGGCGCTGCAGAGAGGACTGGTCTGCAACACTGCCGTGCATAAGCTGTGTGACCCCGGACGGCTGCCTGCCCTCTCTGAACCGCAGTCACAACTCTCAGGGAAGGTGGTCGCTTCTGGAGGGGAGACTTTGAGGATAAAATGAGGATTTCTTTTATTTTGTTCAATTTTCCCAGCGCTGGGTTAGCCAGCCCTTTGCTATTCAGCCCCACCCCCAGGGATCATTTGGAAACAGCCTCTAGCTCGGGGCTGCACAGGGGAGGGCTTGCTGCTCATGTTGTTTGCTGGGTGTC